AGGGTCACTCTGAGTCGGAATCGACTTGATGGCAATGGGTTTTGGATTTTTTTGGTATGGAGTCCCTGGGTGGTGCAAATGGTTAAGTGCTTTGCTACTAACCGTAAAGATTAATGATTAAAATCCACCCAGTACCTTGGAAGAAAGGCCTAATGATCTACTTCCAAAAGATCATAGCCATTGAAAATTCTGTTGAGGGTGAGTGGCAAGTTGACTTGACAGCAACTGGTTCGATTTTTAGGGGTTGTTGCTATTGTTCAAATTATAAAGCATCAGCTCCCCAGGAACCCCTTGAGTAAATCTACTTACCCAAACTGATATTTTATGTTAAGCTAACAAGGCTCCTCAAGGCTTTAGATTTCTATTCTTCAATTTTATGATCAAATAAAAAAATATTTATTGATTGCCTCTGCTGGCTTCGTTAAACTTGATTTATTTCTTTTTAATTAGACAATACCGATTTTAAAATACTTTTTGTGATGCAGCGCATATAGGCATTTGCTTTTGCCAACAATTTTACCTTGCCCTGTGTTTTTTCCCCAATCATCTCTGTCATCATTTTGTCACCCATGTCTGAGGCTCCTGTTCTTTTCTGGCTAACCCATCCAAAGGTTGCTGTGGAAACATGACAGCTACTGTAATACCCTGACCCAGGAAGGCCTTTGTGATAATAGATTTCTTTGTCTAGGTCCATCAGGTGACCCTGCCATAGAATCAGAAGTCTGTTCCTCCAACAGACACACACATAGACATGCATAACACACATGGACAGACACACACACGAACACACACACACACATCACATATTTACAGTCACACATAACACATTCCCAGACACACAGAGACACATATAACACATATTCACACACGCACAGCACATATTCATAGCACATACACTCAGACACACATAACACATATACCCAGATACACACACACAGATACGTTGAACACATATTCACACATATGACACATATTCATAGACACACACAACACAAACAACCTGCCCCCATCTCACAACAACTAACAAAATCCCTTGGGCCTTTTAGCATATTCTTGTATCGTTTTGTAAAGTGTCTAACACCAACTATTAGAAAACACAGTAACTCCTTAACTTTTGCTATAACGTCCCATCTGAATGTTTCCTTTTTCTTGTTTACTACATCAGCAGCCAGGAGTACATTATTTATATTCTCCCTCCCTGTTCCACCTTCCTTCTTTCTCCCCCATCCAAAGCTGGCTGCCAAGTTCTGACATGTGCATTTTTTTCATTACTGTACTGTTACGTTGTTGGTAGGTTCTGCTGGGTCAGTTCTGAATCATAGTGACCTCATGTACCGCAGAGCAAAACACTGCCTGGTCCTGCACCATCCTCACAATGGTTGCTATTACTGTACTGTTCCTGGAAAAATCCAGTTGAGATGCAGATGTTTTCTTTCATTCACCTTTCCTGGGTAAATACCTTCGGGGAAAATAGCAGAAAGTTAAAATTAAAAGAAATCAGGAATGTACTATTCTAGAATTATTCAGTGTTCATAGTATAAACACCTAATTCTATTCAAGTAATAAAATAAAAAATAAATACATGCCCACTATAGTTTTGTCTTTTATTCTTCGGCGTTTCAAACAGCTTAAAGATAGAGCACAGCGCAACTCGCTCCGTAATATTAGTTACATCAGCTGAATGCCCTTTGTTTGCAGAAAAACATGAAAATGATAAAAGTGGGTCAAACTTGGGGCAAGGAAGAAGTGATGCGGGCATCAAGATTTCCTGAGGATCATTTTCCTACTGCTCACTCGTTGCTGGCCAAGAAAAACCACATGGGAGTCTTGCATGTGGCCACTAGGTGGCGACAGTGCTCTATCAGGGAACTGTTTAGTTATGACCAGCTGCCACTTCCAAAGAACAGAGTGGCCCAGGATATTTTCCTATCCAAGAAACAAGAAATACCTCCTACAAATTGGAAATGAATGGGGAAAAAATGTTGGAATTCCCTTTGAAGCTTCTCTTTGAAGCTTTTATATCTCTGCTATCCAACCGATTGGAAGAGATTCGTATTTATGCCTATTCCCAAGAAA